AGCGATGTATGTGAGACTACCTAATGAAGAACATAGGTATCGACGTGCTGGCGGTAATCAATAATTGCGCGTATTGTATGAATGGACGAAAGGAAAAAAGTTGTAACATGCCATAAAACTTTGACGTGGAGCATATGGAACTGAGAAGTGTGCTATTGGTAGCCTATTCATCCACATCCTTTTTGCAGATGGTCTGTCCTTTGATGTACTACAAGTCGTGGAGAACAATAAATGCGGCTCAGCCGCTCATTTAACTCCTGAAATCACGCTTTTTGGCTACCGTCGAGCCAAAACCTCTCCAGTTGATTGTAGAACTCTTTCTATTCGTCGGAATGTCGACTTTCTTAGGCGTCGTTTCGCAAGTCAGAATTCAAACCCGCCTTTTGCTTTTCATTCCAACACCACTAAACTCTTACTTGTTCCTTTAAAACCTTCAGCTATCCCTGACTGAATGCCGTTAGTTGATAAAGTAAGAAGTAAAGCGAAAACCTCGAACACACTAGCACTTCGGATTTCCAACGACTCGTTCGCTATATAAACGAGTTCTTCGTTAAAGCGAAACACCAGTCGAAGTTGGCTGAACTTCCTAATTTCTCTTTTTCCCTTACAAAATTTTTAGGACTTAAAATAATGGCAGTTGTTTTTTGACTTCTTATCAAAAAAAAAACAAAAATTTCACCATCGGCCGACTCACTTAGACATTCTTGACTTCCATGGGTTTTTTACTTAAATTACGCTTTATTCTCTCTCTCTCAATTTCATTTGTTCACCTAATCTGGACCACCCATTCCCAGTTCTTCTAAGTCAACAATTGTGATTGTCTTGGACTCTTCAAAATGATGACACCGACGACACTAACCTTTTCCAATGTTGTCGTATTTTCGCTTTATACCACCATTCTTCTCACCATTTCACCTTCAAGTTATTTTGCGTTTAACCAGAAGTTACTGAGTTAATCCTCGAAAGTAATTGATTTTAATGGTAGATTAAGGAGCTGGCTTACAAAGGAATATTACATTAAAAAAATACTATGTATATAGAAAAAATTGTTTCACTAGCTCATTGTTCAAGTTCATAAAATAAAAATGAGAATGGAGTGCTGGAGCGTAACCGTCTCGGTGTGTAAACGACGCTCTTAGCCAATATTTTCTTTGCCAGATAGACACCCAGTCGAGTATTGGACACCGACAGTCATCACTCTTCTGCATGGAACCCACCTGGCCTCGGTCTGAGACTTGAGTGATCTTCGTTGTGTCATTCTGACTAAGCACACCCTTTTCGACTTCTACAAGAAACATTTACAGAAAGGATAAAAAGCCACAAACGGAAAAATATGTTCAGTCGATGTGTAGATTCGAATGACCTGCTCGTCATGATTTTTTCTTCCGTCAAAATTAAGACAAGATGACAATGCGTTCTGTGTTAAGCAATTCCTCTGAAATGATTCATGTATTCATCTCCATTCGTAGCATCTCGCAGATGGCTGAGTGCCTATTTCGCCTACAATGACTTCTGGTGAGCTAACGGTGCATTTTACCCAGTGCTGTTTGCCCTTCCGGAAAGGTTAGGCATCAATTTTGCAAGTTCATATGGACGGAAAAGCTGATTTGTCCGAGGCATGAGATGGAACTAGAGATCACGGATGTATTGTAGAGCATTTCTTACGACTGTGCTACACCCACCCCTTCTTCCACGGTATGTGCATATATAGAAGAAACCAGTCCTTTGTTATTTTTAGGTAAAAATACCGTTTAAGGCATTTTTCACTTAAATTTTTTTCCAAATAATTCCTAAGGTGTTTCGGATATTTCGAGCCGATACCTATCAAATACGCATATCCAGATGTTTTTTCTGACATGGGTCAAAAAGCCTGCCTGCAAATGTCCTAAGGTATAAAACACCTTTAAATTGTTTCCATTGTTCTTTTTAGCACAATAACAAAATCAGTGTAATGTTTTTTCGTAAAAGCATAGTTCCAATATAATCATAACGATGCTGAGATATTTGCAAAACTCCGGACCGCTGGTGTCTGCGGTGGGGAACGAACGCGCTATTACCTCTTCCGGGGCTAATGCGTTCACCACCACACCATGCGAGCCCTTCGTTTCACCTTTCTCTCACCTGTGGATTTCGGTGTTACTTTTCAATATCATTTTATTCCTACTTCACCTGGATCCTCCTTACTCTATACTTCTGTAAAGTTTCTTTTTTTATTTCTAATGCCATCCCCAATCAATCCTACACCCTTTCTATCACTTACAACTTTTCGATCGAGTTAAGGCTGCCAAAAAAATCTCACAAACGCGTAGTAAAACTGGATCCGGCTCGGCGATATAAAAGAAACGCTCGAGATGAAGCCCGGTCTTGGCCAAGGCCAATCACTTCGGAGCGAAACCGCCACCCACCGCCGGGGTTGGGCAGTTTCGCCTTCGATCGACCTACGGCTGCTTCATTATCGCTGCTACCTGATCGCACAATACCCGATCAGAGAATGAGCGAGTGATGCGAATCAAAATCTCATATCCGAATTCCGTTACAAATCCAGAGAACCTTGTATAAACAATCATTTCCTGCCCAACTTTTTATTGACCGCCTATTATTTTTTCACAGCAGGCTATTATGTGAAATACAATCACAGTGATACTGAGATATTTGCAAAACTCAACCCCAAGCCAGATTTGAACCCGCAATTACTCTTTGCAGGGGCTCACGTGTTACCCAGTGCACCACTGAGGCCCTTGCTTTGCCCTTCTCTCGGCCAGTTTTTATTCTAACGGCGGTATCAGCAATTACCCCGTCAACGAGAAAATTAAAACTCAAACATTGTGATTTCGACTGCAGCCTCAGTTTAACCGGGTTCAGCGCTGATCTGTGCTACCCAGACATTCTTGTTGACGGGTGATTGCTGATGGCACCGTTGGGATAAAAAAAACTGGCTGAAAGGCAAAGCAAGCACCTCGATGAATCAATATCCCTTCTGAGGTCTAAAATTTGCACATAAAGGCATCGATGTTTCTAGAAGCAACTGAAGCGAACATATGAAGCTGTTGTAATTCCATATTATTCTTTATCACTTTTTTCAATTTCGATATTTTAATTATCAGCAACGAATTTAGGCCTACAGGTCGTTCTCGATCGCTCGACAAACTAAACCTTAATATTAGCTGATGTCCAGGACAGGTCGTGGCCGCAAGCCTGGCTACGCTCCCGATTAACAAGGTTTGGTGGGACTGACCATGGAAGAGAAACCTGGAAATGGTCTATAACGACTATCTCGGGATTTTGTAGATCACGTTCGACCAGTAGTGGCTGTGTCAGTGAAGACAAAACAAATCGTCCGGCCGCGGGACTGAACCCACCCAACCACAGCTATGTTTGACAACATGTTTGAAGAACAACAAAATGGATTAAGATCGTGCCGAAGCCCATGTGACATATGAAAACAGGCCACGGACCTCTTAGTAAGTAATAGCAACATAACTATAGCATATATGACAAGTGAAAGCTTATTCTATGTGATGACCCATAGCAAACAGGAGCATGCGGGACAAGAGTCGCCTCCCAACCTGCCTAATCGTTCGCGATGAGAGTTGTCGGTTTCGTCCACTTCTGTTTTCTATACTGTCTATCCAGTACGATTAACAAACACTTGCACTAATGGGCAGCAATGAGAACTCGTTCGTGTGCTAGTGGTGTGACTGCGCCACAGAAAAACCGCTCCTGCAGAATCTGCATGGCCGTTGCCCTCCATCTAAATCGACGAGCTCACCCTGAATCTCCACCATACTCTCTTTCCGTTCAACACCACTCGCAGATCCTTTGCAAGTTTTTTCCTCCTCTCTGCTCTCCATAATGACCGAGGTGCGCGAATTTTCGAACCGAGCGCGCTGATCGAGATGTGGACATCTATGGTAGCAACAATTTCCGTAGCGATTAAATTCAGGTGGGGGTTTTTCGTTGATAGCACTTTCTTCACCAACTTTTTTTGTTACGTAATTGAGGAGTTAGTATTTGAGACGTTAATATTGCGTATTGAAACGGTGACATCTCGCGAAACAGCAGCGAATTGCATCGTTTTTTTCCTAGCTTTCCGCACGAGGACAACTCTTCGTGTAGTAACCTTTTTTACCTTAAGTAAGGGTCCTTATTTGTTACTTAAGTCTCGTATCCTGTTTTCCGTGAATGTTTTTATCTGGTCAGACGTAGTAATCATGGAAATCGATGCAAAATGAGCTGGTTTCCATGGCGTCGTTTTTTTTTCTTCTAAGGTGAGCTTTTTCTATGAATCAAAGTGTCACCATGAAATCAATGTGTATTCTTTCTTTGATATGCTTATACGATATTGGTAAACAATCTTTATTTTCGGCCAACGTTTCGACGTCTTCGTCTTCATCAAAGCCAGCATCAGTGGACTTTCGACTTGGATCATCGGCTCCGATGAAGACGAAGATGTCGAAACGTTAACCGAAAATAGAGGTTTTTTATTAACCTCATGTAAACTTACCAAAGAAAGAATACATATTGATTAGTCATGCCGAGGTTAAAGGAAAGTCGGTTTTGAAATAAATCAGTAGTGATTAGGCATTTGGACTTGGTCTACTAAGAGTTCTTCTGATTCCAAGTTGACTCTCAGCAACTGCAGTTCCACTGTATACGAGTGCTTTGTTTTGTTTTACTTCCTCTGCCAGCTCTTCCTTATCATCCATTTGTCATTCATTTCTCAAAGGTTTCACTTCTTTGTTGCACTCAGTCGTACCAGAGGTTTTTTCTCTCTGGTGGTGATTCCCAGTTCTTACAGCGTATGTTGCTTTGTTACAGCATCGATCATAGATTCGTATTGATTTACTAGAATGGTCGTTCTATGGCAGTAATGTTCGTTTCTATTTCAGGCTAACTCGTATTCACTTTTGGACGTATTCACTCACAACTAGACGATGTGCTAACCTCCCTATTTTCCATATCTAATAGACTATATTTGTTGTTGTGTTAATCATCTAGTCGAAAGAATGAGAACGGGTCTACTCGTATTATTTTCTATATCCTGTATATACACAATAGAACATGATTCGGTGAGTTTTTCCTCCCTTTTTTGCTTGTTATGAAGAGTTCAGAAGGCACGTATGGCGCAGTGGTTGGGGGCGTCACTGCGACACACACGTGGAATCGATACCCGCGCCCATGGCAGCCCCAAGCCTTCCATCCCTCCGGAGTCGGAAAATTGATGCCGGACTTGTGTGATAGGACAGCAGCACTGGTTCGATACATCGGTAGGCCACCGCGAGTCATTGTAAAGAGCAGATATGCATTCAATCACTTCCAAATGATGCTTAATGAAGTCGAATGCATGATGTGTCGCTAAGGGATTGATTAACGCCGAGAGCTTTATCCTATATTTATCTTATGAAGAGTTCAGAATGATGCCTACCATTCTTTCAATGTGAGACAGGCTTTTCTTTGTAGAGGAACGAAATTCTAGTCCGGTGTACGTGAAGGTGAAGTGAACTGTTGTTCCTGCTGTTTAGTTACTGAAGTGGCAACTTGTAATTCCAATAACTATGAAAAATAAAAATTGTCTGAAGTGGTAGATCAATGCAAGTGAGTCACTGTACAGAAGAAAGGTCCTGGGCGTTGCAAAGGAACAAGAATCCTCTGAAATTCCTGAACTTTCGACACTTGATAGCATTCTAGTACGATAGTTGCACGTAGAAAATCTTTAGCAGTGACTAAGTGGCCTACATTCTAAACAGGCTTATTATGTCGGATTGGAAACCACTGTCCAGTTGTTTCTTCTTAGTTTTTTTTGGATCATATTTATTAAAATAGAAGCTTCTATTATGAGTGTGTTGGTAGCTTGTACACTTATATAAAGAGAACTTTAAAATGTCTTCGTACATTTATGGTCCGGTTTGGATTTATTCCTGGCCTTTTCAGATATGTGATGATGAAGCTAACTGTCCGGAGCCAACACATACAGTGATTCGATTAGCAAAAAGAGATGACCGATTAGCAAGAAGCCTTGCCGAGCAGCATGGAATGGTGGTCAGGGTGAGATATCCGTTTCCATTCTTCCTTTTTATTGACCAATTAGCAAGAAGTCTTGCCGAGCGCCACGGATTGGTGGTCAAGGTGAGATATCCGTTTCCATTCTTCCTTTTTATTTCATCCGTTTCAATTGGGCTCCGCTAACTTTTCGACTCCGTTGTCATCTTTTATTCTTCTTTGCAAGTACCTGTTTAGAAACAGAGTTGGGTGAACGACTTTACCATTCCTCATTTCGAACTTGTCATCTCGAACTATGGTTTGCAAAACAGAAGTTTTGTAATTTCGAGGTGCTTTAGGAAGTTTGCGAACTTGGGGTTATGTTATTGACATCAAACCATTGATGAATAAAACCTATTCAAAGAATTTGCTTGTTTGAAGGGTAATGTTAACCTTTTATTTGCTGCCTACTACAATTTTTTACGGCAGGATATTATGTGAAATACAACCATAATAATGCTGAGGTATTTGCAAAACTCCGGACCGCAGGTGTCTGCAGTCGGGAACGAACGTGCTATTACCCTTTCCGGGGGCTAATGCGATCACCACCGCACCATTCGGGTCTTTCTTTTCGCCTCTTTCTCAGCCAGTTTTCTATCTATCGGCCATCAGCAATTACCCGTCAACGGGATTGATCTGGGGAGCGCAAATCGGCATTGAACCCCGTTAAGCTGGGCTATCAGTAGATAAAAACAATTTAAATCTTAGCCTTTACAAGGTAGTCACAACTTTAATGACCCCTTTGAAAAATTGGTAATTGAAGAGATACCGTTATTCTTGGAATATGCATCAATTACCTTGACAAGTTAAACATCTACTGTGGGAAAGCATTAATAAATCCTGAATGGAGGGTGCCGTATACTTTTCTATCTCAAAGTGGAATGCGTGAGTCCGCTGAGCAAATTTTTCTTTTTAATATTTTTGCATGCTCAGTAAAATTGTAGCCCTTCTGGTTAGACCTGGTCAATACCTAGAGCTTGCCTCGGAAGTTTCTAGTCTATATAGTCTTAAATTTTAAGTTAATCCAATTTGACGAGACATTTTATGGCAACATTTGTCGAATAACAACACACTAAGGATAAGGCCATTGTACAGATTTTCAGGGAGAGCCTTTTCTTGACAACCACTATTTCTTCTATCATAAAGATGGGTCACATTCTCGTCGGAGGAAACGAGAAGCAGTGGAGAGGCTGGAATCGCATCCGGATGTTGAGTGGATTTCAGAACAGAGACCTCGCACGCGTCGCAAAAGAGACTATGTTTATGACGACAGTACGGTAAGGTTCTGATAAGATTAAACCCATTATCATTTGCATGGATTCATTTTGAGGTGTCCGATCATTCATTATCCAAACGAAGTTCTTCGTTTGCCAATAACAAACCGACTCGTCAAACAGTCCTGAAACGTCGTCAGGCTGGATCAGGAGGTCGCGAGATTCCTCGGTTACCGTTTCCTGATCCGCTTTATCCAGACCAATGGTATTTGGTGAGGTCGTCCCTTGAGTATAACTTTTCGTCTCTTGACACTTTTATTTTGAAGTACAGGTTGGCAAGGCCGTCGGCAATTATGACATGAATGTTCGTGAAGCTTGGATGCTTGGTTACGCCGGTCGTAACGTATCGGTTTCCATTCTAGACGATGGCATTCAAAGGTTACTACCTGTTAATCGTTTGTTTCACTTTGCTCGCCATGTCTTTCAAAAAGTGTTGACTATTAAAAGAGTATTTTAAAGGAATCATCCTGACCTCATTACGAACTATGATCCTTTGGCCAGCACAGATATTAATGATCATGACGACGATCCAACGCCGCAGAATAATGGTGACAATAAGTGAGTTCACAAAAATCATTTCACGTAGCTTACTTATATGAGAAGTGATGTCGTTTTAACTTTTTTCGCTTTTTTTAAAAAAATCATTGCTATCTTAATGAAATTTTTATATGATTTTTAAGAAATCTCTTGTAGACATGGTACCCGATGTGCTGGTGAGGTGGCTGCTATTGCTGGTAACAAGCATTGTGGTGTCGGAGTTGCATTCAAAGCGAAGATCGGAGGGGTATTGGTCTTGGATTTTTGTGATTATTTTTGAAACTTTCTTCATTGCTGCGTGTAGATATTAGTGTGGAGCGATTCCAGGTCCGAATGCTGGATGGAGCAGTGTCAGATAGTGTGGAAGCCGCTTCACTCTCATTAAATCAGGTTTTTAGTTATTTCAACGTATTCGATTCTGGTTTTTCACCATCTCCCGATAATTCTTTGCTAGCTAATTACTTAAGAACGTGATTGCTTGATAGGCTTATAGAAGATGGTTTCAACTTTCACTGTGAGGCAAGAATGCATTTCTGATACCTTTTAGTTCTATTGCTTAATATTCAGTCTTTAGAAGGTTAGAAACGAAGTTCGTAGTTGAAAAATTTCCAACACAAATTCGCGTTAGAACACTTCGTCATGTCCTGCCGAGTGAAATGAGATTTGTTGACTTGGTTTGATGTTCAACATGCGAGCCTAGAATTGAAAACAAATTTAAAAAACTACGCTGTCCGAAGATCGGAATTATACCTCTGTAGAAAAAGGTCCACCTTATCGTCAAGGATCTGTAGTTTCTAATGGTTTATGTTAGAATCAGTGAAGTCCAATATGAACCGAGATATGTTTGCTCAAAATTAAGAGGACTTTCTATTTTTTGGGGATTCATGCGTTGTGATCAAGACACACCGTCGCAAATATGTTGACTAGTCTTTTAAAGCGTTTGACTTTTCGCTTACAGTGTAAAGTTCACTATATTCATTATTTCACCGCTTATTATAGGACCACATCGATATCTATTCTGCAAGTTGGGGACCAGAAGATGATGGTAAAACGTTTGACGGCCCTGGACCACTTGCCAGGGAGGCATTTTATCGAGGAATAAAAAATGGTCGAAGAGGAAAAGGAAACATCTTTGTATGGGCCAGCGGAAATGGAGGATCGAGGTTACTTTGTTGTTTAGAAATTGGAAGTTTGAACTAGTGAGCTTGTGCACGCTGTGACACTTTAGCCAACGTAAGTCGTGTTAGTCATGATAGCGTGTGACCCTCGCCAAAAATTAGGCGTCCTCCCACAAAATTGAGCGTTATCGCCAATCTATTAATAGTGGTTTGATATTTGTCCAGTCTAACTCAGCGTTTGCAAGATACTATGGATATTACAGTGATAAACACCAGTAGTCATCTTCACGTTGCTGTAGGTTCGTATTTGCAATTGATTAGAACAGTAAGGTCCCATTTCTGACGACTGTAGTCGCAAGTTAATACAAAGTGTGATGCGAAGGGCAGTAGTGAGATGCTCTACGATGTACATGGTCTTTGTTTCAATTACTCCCACTTGCGTAGCCTAGTTTTTGATTCCCCTATCCTTGGCTAATTGGCATTTTACTAGCTTGGGAGAATAAAAAAAGTGACTTGTAGATCGGTAAAGAATGTAAATGCTGACTTGGTACATCAGTAAACGCTGGAAACTCATTTTATAGGCTGGATATGCATTCATTTACCTCAACGATCTTTGCTGGAGTATGATACTCCACTGAACTATATGTGTGATTCTTCTTAGTTTTTTGGTTAACATAGAAACGTTTAAGTTTTTAGTATAAAACCAACTTCATATGTTTACCAAATCCCGGTGCATAACTGATTTCCCAACAGATTTGTAAATGGCTCAGTTAGCTGAATGTTGTACTACTGTGTTATGCTTTATCATGCTTACTTGGATGTTTGGATATTTGGACAGCCTGACCTCACTGAATGTGCGGGCCTCAGCATATTCTCCAATTTTCGGAGTTTTACTGGTTTAGCCATTGTTTTTTCCTGGAGACACGAGGTCAGCCTGGCAAAAGTCTGCCTCAGGTTGTCATCGTCACAGGCAGTCGCCGCCGTTGTGGATCAGAGAAAAATTTGCCATCATGTGACTAACTTCATAGCAGGATGGTGGTGGATCCTGGTATTGGTTTACTCTTAGCTGGCCTTCCTGATGGAAACGCCGGACTCTTTCTCAGCTTGGGAGACCTTGCCAGGGGATAAATCCTCCGATGTACATCGCAGTCCGACACCCAGGAAAAAATACCTCCCAGCCACGATGAGGCGGTAAACCGTTAGGAGAGCCTTATTATGCTAATTTTCTCAAACTCAATGGATAATTTTCAGCGGCACTACCTTGGCGTAGAGATCATGCATACGTGGTTACAATGACAAGTTTTACGCATTGATCAATATCTGCCCTATAGTTTTCTTTCCATTCGTTCTTACTCGCAAATCTTGTTGTATTTTTATTTATGTTAAAGCAGATATTTTTTTAGGCAAGATTCGTGCTCGGCTGACGGGTATACTACATCTGTGTACACACTTTCGATTTCATCTGCAACGTTCGATAATCACCGTCCTTGGTATTTAGAAGAGTGTCCATCTTCGATTGCGACCACCTACAGTTCTGCGAATATCAACCAACCAGCCATAGTTGGTTTTAGATTCACCTTCTTAAATTAGATACATCCACCAAACCTCTCTACTGTAACGATTGATTATGTTTATTCTTTGCTTATTGCCTATCATTATTTTTTGGCTCCCAACGGTTTGCCACTATTCGTCGCTGGGAGGTGTTCATTGGTGTTGTGCTGCGTTGTACAGCGGGAGGATTCATCCACCTGGCAGAGTCTCCCAAGCCAAGGAGTCCGGCGTTTCCATTGGGTAACTCAGCTAAGAGTTAATCATTACCAGGATCCGTCACCGCTCTGGTACCAAACTAGTCGCTTGGTGGCAAATCTCCCTCTGATCCACGAAGACAGAGACTGCCTGTGGTGGTGACGATTTGGGACAAACTTTGTTCAGGCTGACCTCGGGACTCCAGGAACCACAACAGCTGGACCAGCAAAACTCCAGAACATTGGAAATTATGCTGGGGCCCTCACAACCAGTGGGGATGGGCCATCCAAGTATCCAAATATTATTTCTTGACTGCAGGGCATGATGTGAAATACAACCATTATAATGCTAAGATATTTGCAAAACATCGACCCCAGTCTAGATTCAAACCCGTGTCTACCCTTTTTGGGAACTCACGTATTACCCACTGCACCACTGAGCACTGCTTGAATTATCTAAGTTGTTGCGTGATAATTTAGGTTACTGTGGATGTTCCGGCCGGGTGTACAAATATGCACACAGGGACGAGTGCTTCCGCACCGTTGGCAGCTGGTATAATCGCCCTTGCCCTAGAAGCAAAGTATGCCCACTCCTTGTTTTGTTTGCTACTCTCCAACAACACTTTAGAGCGTTCATGTTTAGTCCTGACTTGACATGGCGTGATATGCAACATATCGTATTGAGGACTGCTAACCCCACTCCTCTTTTGGGAAATCCTGGTTGGTCACGAAACGGTGTTGGAAGGATGATTAGTAATAAGTAAGCGTAGTTTCATCGTCTTGTGCTTTAATCGAGCTCTACACTAAATTTCAGATTCGGTTATGGCTTAATGGATGGTGGAGCTCTTGTAAAGTTGGCCAGTAAGTGGAAAACGGTGCCTGAGCAACACATTTGTACTTATGAATATAAGTTAGCTGCCCCAAAGTAAGAATTTACTTCGAAAATATTTTTTAATGTCGTTATACCACAATTTCCAGCCCTCGTCCGATCAGCGGTCGTTTTCAAATGAATTTTTCGTTGGAAGTTAATGGTTGTGAATCTGGAACTCCTGTGCTGTATTTGGAACATGTTCAAGTGCACACAACTGGTTAGCGTTAGTACTCCCTTGCTTTTTACTAGTCAGTAGTTTCTCCCGTTTCTAAAATATAACCATTCTCAGTGCGGTATTCGAAGCGAGGTGATTTAAAACTCACTCTTTTTTCTCCTTCGAACACTAGATCGGTTTTGTTGCCTCCTAGACCGCAGGTTTGATTTCTTCTTCTAATCTATGACATTCGTAGGAGTTAACTTCATGAACGTCGTTTCAGGACTTCAACAGTAATGGGTTTCATAAGTGGCCTTTCCTATCGGTACAACAATGGGGAGAAGATCCTCGTGGAACATGGATTCTAATGGTCGAAAGTGTTACGAATAACCTAGCAGCTACTGGTAAATTTTTGTTTTAAGGTTGAAACTGTAGTTTTATGTTAGCCTTTGGTGAGAGAAATTTCAGGTACGTTTCACGACTGGACATTGCTACTGTATGGTACGGCTGAACCAGCACAGCCTGGTGACCAAATTCATCCGCCAACCCCCCTACCTTCGCAGTCGGTGCTTGGTCGGATACAGCAATTAACTAGCCAGGTTAGAGCTTACCATTCATACTAAGTGTTCTGCATAGTAAAGCGTCTGGATTGAAATCGAAAAGCGTCCTTTCCGGACAAGAGAAATGCGTAATACTAGCCATAAATTTTGACATCTATACTAATACATGCTTCACTTACACTGGACTATATTAGATGTGCACGTTGCATTGAGAAATTCGGCATTAATCGTTGTAACCTACGTTCTTGTGGTAGGGTGCTTAGTGTTTTTTTTTGCTCCATTTGCAATATCACGCTTCGGCTTGTTTCTTTTACTAACACTAATTGGCTATCAACTAACCCTGCGCTAACCTCTGCTTTACTATATTACGTCACGCTTCCACGTCCCTTGTGAATTACAGCAAAGCAAATAATGCTTAGCATTTTGAAGCCAATTTCCCTTCAGCTCACGTGTTGTTTTTCTTGCGCATGAAACTATCTGTATGTTCTTATTATGGTGGTGGTTAGCGTATTGTTGGTGTCTTGCAGAATTTACGGAAACGTCCGACGGCATTCTCTCGCACCCGGCAATTCTCGATTACTGGTGCTGCCACAGCACCACAGCGATCACCATTTGTGCGGCCACTGTCTGCGTCAAGATCGCGTTCGCGCCAATTCCTTAATTCCTCTGGTCACTGGGTGTATATCCCAAGGTTCAAACAATGGGTTTGGGTTGAGAAGCGCAATCGTCATCATAAGCGATACCACCGTACTAGCTGTATTCTTTGATGTTCGAATTCGCATGGGGTTTTCGGTGATTGGAATTGTGTCACATAGTCGGCGTTCGTACAGCCATCTTCTACACACACACACACACACACACACACACACACACACACACACACACACACACACACACGCGTATATAAACATCGAGTCAGTTATTGTTCCATTGCGATTTCGTCCGTTGCGAAATGCGCATGGTTCGTGAGCGATGCGATGCTTGCTCTCTACAGATGACGCTTCCTGTAATGTTGATGATCGTACAAGCGGCAGTTCTGTTACTGATCGTAGTCGCAGCTGCGATTGCTTGTCGACGGGCACCTCCACCAGCAAGACTGTTCTTCGAGTCAACCAGCACTGTCACAGATACTGATCAGTCTCAATTTTCTCAGCGGCATAATGAACAACTGCCCAGCATAAACGGTACAAGTGGTGAGCATAAACCTCAGTGATTTGATCATAATCATATGTGTTATACATCTACAAACAAGCGTCTGCGTAGTGGTACGTTTGTAAGGGTATTTGCTTTGCGTGTTTTCTGGTCATTCCTCTCTTTTTCTATCTTTTTCGTTCTATGTTATATCATTGCTCGGTTCCTTACCTGACCGCACCCCCGCATGTAGAAGTTTCCTCGCAAATTCGTCTATCTCTCCTGTCCACTTATCAGCAGAATTAGTGAGGAGTTTGTCGTGAGTTGTCATGTTTAGTCACCAACAACGAGCATCGATCGTTTGAGGAGTTATTTCAATACGATTTTTTCTAAGATCTTTGGAGGTGCGTGAAGGGTAATCACATTGCTTGCTTCTTTCATCTACATTGTCAGGTCTAAATGGAACTTTTACTTGAAATCCTGTTCTCACTGTCACTGATTAAATCTGTTTTCCTAAGTCGATTTGTGATTTTCGCCTATTTGGACCCAAATTATTGTTGTCAGTGGCTTTCATATTGCATTTTTAGTGATGGGTTTAGCATTAAGGAAACCTTACCGCACAGATTTTGTTGTTCTAATACACCAGTCTAACCGAAAGGGATTGTTCTTGTTTTGGATAGTGCTGCAAGATGCATTTGCAGAGCGAGTTCGCATGTTAGATGTTGTGATACGTTATGTTTGTACCATATATGATTGATCAGTCATTTGATGGATGAAGTGCCTTGAAAGGATTTTTATAGAGCTGTGAATAAATTGTTCTTCCGTGTTTGTGTTTGTGAATCGAACGAAAGGTTGCTTAGTAGAATTCTTTTCATGCATCGTCGGTGCGTGTGTGGTGGTGGAAATGGCTTCTTATTGTCCTTTATCTCATGCTATGTTCGGGTTCAGTTGCAGCTTCTAGGACATTGCCAAGTTCGTTTCTGTACTAAGCTGTGATTCGAAAATCTGCTGGCTAGTTCTAAATTATCTCACATGACTCCAACAGTCCAGATGGAGTGTGCTAGTAATGGAATCGGCATTTTACTTTGGATCTTCTGTTCCATAGTGGTAGAGTGGCAGAGTTTAAATTTAGCCCATAGAGGTGAAATACGTTAACCTAGAGTTGTGATATCGCGTGACTGAAAAATTAGTCTTATGCAGTTTCCTGTTACAGTGCGTAGCAGTTTAGCACAGAGCAGTCTTCATGTACACGGAAAAGTAGTATAGGTGGAACTGGTATCCTAACCGTTGACATTTTCGTAAGTGCTGTGAAGCTATAGTATTGGTAAGAGGTACATACAGAAGTCTTGTCCCACGTAGGGAGTATATTCTCAATAGGGCTGTTTTAGGCACATCCGAGTGATTTTTCCCCCTACAAAGTTTGTTTATAGTACAAATGAGTGAAATATCGTTACGAAACCTGTTTTGAGTGATATTCCAGTTGCGGCAGGTGTTTTTGGAACGGAGATGACTTAGGTGCTGAGAAAATGATACGATCATAACGATTCTAAACCACCCGATTTCTCTTTCTCAATAATGGTCCCATAAGTAGAATTGACTAAAATCAATACAATATTATTTATTGGCCGGCTGAATGTGAGTTCAATGAGCGTCGTGTTCAGATCGATCGCATCGAGCCAGTTTCATTCGGAGATCTTCAGTCGGTCGGTGACTGCCATCCGGAATGCGATGGTGGATGTTCGGAGAGTGGTTCGGCGGTCGCGTGCTTTCGATGCAAACATTTCACACAGACTCTTCGAAATAAGGCCGGAAATGGCTTCAAGTGCGTGTACGATGTTTGTCCTAAGGTGTCTCCAGATTACATCAGAGTGGTTGTTGTGACGACTTTCCAGATGTGTATCGCATTGTGATGACGCATTCTATTTGGATGGTGGAAATTGTAAGATGTGCTCTCCGCATTGTCATTCATGCAAACAAGCTGAGGTAAGGGTTATGATTTCATACAGTTTAGACCCAAAAGATCTGCATTAGGAGCAAACAACATCTACCAGGCCAGTTTCTGATCCACTTTCTAAGGTCTAAGTACCATTCTTTCCCCTGAAGATCAGCGCTATGCGCGACCCCAACCGAACGGCTTTAGGAGACTTTAGAGCATCTTACACGGATGCTTTTTATTGTTAATGATCCATTCCAGGTTTGTGAAACGTGTCCAGGAGCTCAGCTCTTAGTCGATGTGGCTCATTCGCCTCAACATGGGAAGTGTGTCGATGCTTGCGGAGAGGGTCAAGTTCCAGATTGTATGTGTTACTGGCTAAAGTTTAATCCGTTTCTTGCTCCGTTCTTTCTTCGTCGTTTCTTACTGGGTGTCATATTCTGTCTATAAAACTAAACTTGGACTTACTTGGGTGGGCCGTTCACACTGGTGGTGCGGACCTCAGCATAATCTCCATTTTTAGACGTTTTAGTGGTTCAGCCATTGTGGTTCGTTGGAGTCCCGAGGTCAGCCTAGCCCAAGGTCGTCACCACTACAAGAAGTCGCCGTACTCGTGAATAAAAGGGGACTAGCCACCATGCGACTAGGTTAGTACCAGGACGGTGACGGTTCCTGGTATTGGTTTAATCCTAGCTGGGTCTCCTCATGGAAACGCCGGACCCCTTCTTAGCTTGGGAGACTCTGCCAGGTGGATGAATTCCTCCGCTGTACAACGCAGCCCAACACCCAGGAACACCTCCCAGCGACGATTAGCGGTAAACCGTTGGGAGGTTATACAACCGTAAAAGATAAAGGATAGAGCTCTCGGCATTGATCAATTCCTGAGGGATGCGCCAAGCATTCGACTTCATTAAGTATCGGTGGAGGTGATTGAATGCATATCTGGCCTTTACAATAACTCGCAATGGCATACCTATGTATCGAGCCAGTGCTGCTATCCTCCCAGACAAGTCTGGTACCAATTTGCCGACACCGGAGGGATGGAAGGCTCAGTGGGCCATGGGCACAGGGATCGATTTCACGTGTGTGTCGCAGTGGCGCGTCCAACCAACCACGCGCCTAGAACATAGTTTAAAGCATTGATGGTTTCACGTATGTGTGTATGTGTGTGTATGTGCATATGTGTATATATGTATATGTGTATGCGTATATGTGTATGTACACGTGTATATGTGTGTGTATGTACGTATGTGTGTTTTTCTCTTTTTAGCTTAACCCACCCAAGCTGAAGAGCTTTTTATTTCTCCTCTGAAATCTAGTTAGGAGTACCGATCGCGAAGTAGGAAAAACCATGAGGCTAAAGAGCCTTGTGCGAGAAATGTGAAGACCTTGGTATATCTGAAATCGTCTTAATACCTTAGCGAGCATGATCCTGCTACAGGACAATGACGAATCTTTGACTTTACCGCCCATTTGAAGTACTCTGTGACAAATGAGGTTGAATATGACGCTCTTACGACTTTAGACGAATCAAATCTGGTTCAAGCCCGTTGCGTGCTTCGAGCTGACCGATGCGGAGTGGGTTACTACCTCAATCCGTTCGGAAAGTGCACTCAATGCGATGAATCCTGCATGACATGTCATGGTCCAGGTATTCTCATCTTGTGTACTTTAACGTATTATCATTAAAATTCTACTTCCAATCCAAACAGTTGACTTTCCAAAGCTATCGTTCATTTTAATGATGCTGAGATATTTGCAAAACTCCGGCCCGCAGGTGTCTGCGGTGGGGAACGAACGCGCTATTGTCCTTTCCGGTGAGTAACGCGTTCACCACCACACCATGCGGGTCCTTCGTTTAGCCATCGTTTATATTTTTACTCTTATTATGTTGTTTTTTCTTGATGCTTTCCGAAAACCCTGAAATAACTCCTCTAACTCAGGCGCATTTGGATGTGATAGCTGTGCAGAGGGCTATGGAAATCGTTCCACAGGCTATTGTAAGCCGTGTTGTAGATTTGGAGAATCTTCTGAGAATTATCGATGTGGTATGCCTTTTTTCTCCTCCTTCTCTGTATCTTTTGAGATTTCAGTTCAGCACATTGGATATTCTACCTAAGCATAAATTTCATCTCTAACGAGAAGAGTAGGGGAGCGTGTAGCGCCATGGTTGGAGGCACACTGCAATGCACACGGTATCGAGCCCTGTGCTCCAGGCCCACCAAGCCTTCCATCCTTCTGGGGTCTGCAAATAGGTACCAGACCAGTCTAGGAGGATAGCAGCACTAGCACGATACATCGAGGTCACCGTGAGTCATTGTAAAGGCCAAATATGCATTCAATCACCTCCAGTGATACTTAATGCAGTTGAATGCATGGTGCATCCCTCAGGGATTGATCAACGCGGAGAGCTTTATCCTTTATCCTTTTAATGAGAAGAATATCAGTTATCATCCATTCGTATGGGTTCATTGTGCTTCAGAAGATTGCTCGCTGAACGCAAAATATCCGCCGCATCGAAATTCGGGATTTTTCTGGTCTTCCATTTGGGTTGCTGCTATTGCTGTTGTGACAATCATCTCCTTCGTTGGGTTTGTTGGATACTGTATTCTCGGAGACGATCGTAGCCATATCGAGTAAGTTTGGATGCTTTACGTGAGCTGCTCAATATAAGGTCTATGTTTTTGTTTGCAGTTATACTCCATTGCCCCATTATAATAATCAGACTGGGGAAGTTCACATTATGGATTCCGATTCCGATGAAGACGGTGCTCTGTACGATTCTAAAGTTGTTGGAATTTGAACATACCTTGCCGTGGAATCACCTTATAAGAGGTAGTCGTTTATAGTTTATATCTGTATTTGTCGCTTAATTCAAATGAATTGTGAGTGTACTAATGGCGCGCTTAGCACAGTGGTTGGAGGCACCCTGCAACACACACGTGGAGTCGATTCCAGCGCCCCAGGTTTACCATGCTCTTCATCCCTCCGGCATCGGCAAACTGGTACCAGACTTGTCTGGGAAGGTGGCAGCACTGGGTCGATACATCGGCAGACCGCCACAAATCATTGTAAAGGCCAGATATGCGTTCAGTCACCTCCACCGATACTTAATGAAGTCGAATGCATGGCGCACCCCTCAGGGATTGATCAATGCCGAGAGCCTTATCTTTTTTTTTTACTGTTGGTCTTAGTCCCACGTAAAATAACAAGTGGTTTTTCAGATTTCTCTTGTGGATCAGTCTCACTTCCAGCGATGCTATACAGAAGTCTTCTGACCAAACCAGAATTTGATTCTAATCACATTTGCTTAAGTTTTCCCTATTGCTATAATGATGTATTGTTGTCCTGTAGTTGTACAGTCTTTCACTGTTATTTTGTCGAATATATATTCACTTAAATTTCTCTTAGTTCTTATTACTTTTTCTTCTCCTATAATCTTTCATATTACAACTTATGAGTACGGCATGAGGAAGCCGCGGGTTCAGCACTTACTGTACCCAGCAAAAAAGATGTAGCCACATATGGGGTTAGACGACGATTTTCCGTAGATCTGTGCAGTTTTTACGTTTAACAGTGAATTAACTAATTTAATCTTCACGTACAACAGTTTTATTCTGTTGAAATGATGTATTTCCTCTGAAAATCATTGCCTTCTGTCGAACATATTGCATAACAGTGATAACTAGAATGATTTCGGACTCTACTAGTGCCTTCGCTCTTTACGTTCTTGATTCGATGGTCTGGCTACCATGGGTTTATGGCGAATTCTTGCCACTTATTACTATGCTGTTAACCTTTGCACTTGTACAGGTCTCTAATTCGTCCAACCATTGATCGTTTGTACAAATCCAATTTCTCCTTCTCTCACTAACTATTCACTGAATTCAAAGTTCACTGTCATAATAAAGAACTCATGGGTTTTTGTTATTGATTTATCAGTATGTCAGTTCATCTAGTACCATTTCATTGCCATTCCGTGTTCATTTGGTCTGCAGTGGAGGACTGTATTTAGTCAGTTTTCTCCGCCTTCTCATTTTCAGTGGAAGTCCGTTAGATTTCATCAGTGTCGCTACTCGATGTCTTCAACCGGGGTATCCGATACCACACGGCATCGAACGCTTAAGACATACGATTGGGCTGTGAAGGTTAGATACCTAAGATTGACTATGTTAATTATTTGAAACTGCCAAGAGGTTCTAATCGATGTTTTCTTTTAGTAACACACACGATAATCCGTCCTTTTGGGGGTGCGCATTTTTCTAGCAAACTCTGGGACGTCCTTTGTTTTCTCTTTTTCTATTTTTTAACATGATGGATAACTTACCTCCAAATACAGACATTGTATTCTAATTCGAAAATACTTAGATACTCGGATGGTGCGCCCTCACTGGTTGTGCGGACCCCAGCATAATCTCCATCTTTTCGGAGTTTTGATGGTTTAGCTATTGTGGTTCCCTGGAGTCCCGAGGTCAGCCTGGCCAAAGTCTGCTCCAGGTCGTCGCCGTCATAGGCAATCGCCGCCCTTGTAGATTAGAGGGAGATTTTCCACCATGCGACTTTGATACCAGGACGGTGGTGGATCGTGGTATTGGTTCACTCTTATCTGGACTTCAAAATGCAAACGCCGGACTCCTTCTCAATTTGGGAGACCCTGCCGGGGGATGAATCCCCCTGTTGTACATCGCAGCCGAATACCTAGGAATTCCTCGCAGCCACGATGAGGCGGTAAACCGTTGCGCGGTGCTCGAAAATGCTCGAAAATACTGTGATCGCAATTAAAGAGATTGATTTATTAATTCAAAAGAACAAGTAACTCGGAATGCTTGTGGGTAATTAATGTTCATTTTTAAGCATAAAGAGATTTGCTGGCAGTGGAATCACAATAAAAGCAAAAACTTTGACAATGCTTAGAAAATTCACCAACGACTGCTCATGTGTAGCAGTGCTATCGATGACCACGACGTGATTCCTGTGTCGCACCAGTGCTTCTTTATTATAAAAGAGTGTGACAAAGTGGAGAAAATATCTAAAGAAACCGTAAAGGAAACTAAAGACAACAAATAATGCCTTAATGATACATATTTTATACGACAAAGCCGTCGGTAATAATTCTGAATGCCTATGAAGAGCACCCTACTAGTTGACATATTCACGACCACGTGTTGATATCAATCCATACTGCGACGTGTCTGACCATATCCGTTGATTTTAATGCTCTCTCCAGTTGTTCTTTTTGCTACGCTATTTTGTTTTTCTGTCATATTTATTGTATTCAATCGATGGCTCATAGAACACAGACAGATGTTTGTTGGCGTGGTTCATGAAAAGTTATCTATCATTCGTGGAGGTGACCAAGCTCGTAGGTGGTTTTGGCTCCAACTTGAGTCTCTGTTATCTTCTCACATTAACACATCGAGTACTGGTGGAGCGTTATTTTTCCTGGAAACCCGAGATACCGTGTTTGCATGATCTCACGTCATCACCCCAAGAAGTCGCTTACCTTTGATGTTCGGAAGATTTGCTGTCTTGTGACTTGGATCCTTCCATAACGATAGCGATTCTCGTGATGGCAGAGGTTTCTGCGATTAGTCAACCCATCGCTCGAGGACGAGGTAACATGTCGAATCTAAAAGCTATTCCTTACATTTAAGATTTTTTAAAAACTGTTTATTCATGCGGTTTTTTTTTTGCCAAGCGCAGTATCGTTGCTAACGAGGGCTGTACTGTGACATTCTGTTGCAAACACAAGTGGGAGCTCGTCGTTTTGCTTCTACATGGTGTAGGTTTAGGAACACTAAGGGTTTTTAACTTTGTTCTGCTTAAATATGAGTTAAAGTAGGAAGCATGTGTGGATGTCAAGGAATATTCAGCTTCAAACCGACTATATAAGGCTGACAGCATCGTGACTGTACGACGGACAAGACTTTTCCAGTCATTTATAAGAGAGCTAAATGTTCGAAGGACATGGATTAACATAGAGGAAACCTAGGGTGTAAAAATCCGTAAAAAGGGTTGGAAAAACCGTTTAGACAATCATATTGTGGAGTGTAAACACAAAGAATACTGTGGTCGTTTTTGAGATAGTCATACCCGAACATATGTATGGAGTTCAATTCACGCTGTGCGTGGCACAAAATCTAGACATAATTCCACATGCTCGGCATAAAAATCGCCTCCATCACCAGTCTGTCGAAATATTGGTGACGGTATGCATTGACCTCCACTCATAAAGGATGGCTGTCTGGGAAGGTATAGACTTGAACTAAATATGTGTGCTTTCCGATTCTTTCTTCTATCCTATTTATTTTTTTCTCAGTGTATATTTTGTTTTGCATCACGTCACTCTGAGACACGTTGCTAACCCCTTTACCATCACCCTATGGTGACGTTGAACACCAACGTACTAGTTCCCAGGATCGACTTTCTATTAACCTCGGCATTGGAATACGAATACGTCGTTTTCTTGTTCAGCAATCGCGAGGTTTTTAAACAGCATACATTTACTTCCATAGAAAAACACAATACAATACAACACTAGCTGACGTTTCGGCAGTATCACCTTCTTCAGAGCCGCTTTTTACGTGACTTCCAATGAGGAAGTTTAGAACAGATGATTACAGTCGCATATGGTTCTCAGTAAGTAAGTACTTCTCAAAACAAAACTCTCGTCATTGATGAGTCATCAACCATATGCGACTATAATCAGCTGTTCTAAACTTCCTCATTGGAAGTCACGAAAAAAGCGGCTCTGAAGAAGGCGATACTGCCGAAACGTCTGGTAGTGTTGTATTGTGTTGTGCTTTTCTATGGAAGTAAATGTATGCTGTTTAAAAACCTCGCGATTGCTGTACAAGAAAACGACGTATTCTTATACCAACGTACTAATTTCCATAACGATTTGATCTGAAGTATTCTTGGGTAGTTAAACTGTGACATACAGCAAGTAATAGAATCTGTAGAATTGAACCTTTTCTAGAACGTGCTATTAAGCCATGCTTGGCAAACAGTTTACTAGCCTCGGAAATGTTCCTATGAATTTGCTTTTGGAAAGTGAAAGCATTTTCGCGAAAGTACTGAAGAGAATGTTCAAATGGTGCTATGCCCAGGGACGTCAAATATAAAATAATGTGTCTGCGAATTATGAGATGGTCGTATGAGCTCTGCAATACACGCGATCGTTTCCAGTGCTCACCAAGCCATCCGGAATCAGCAAATTGGTACCAGGCTTGTCTGGGAGGATAGCAGCACTGGCTGGACACATCGCTAGGCCACCGTGAGTCATCATTGTAAATGCCAGATATGCATTCAGTTACCTCCAACGATGCTTAATGACGTCGAATGCATGGCGCATCCTTCAGGGATTGGTCAATACCGAGAACTTTGTTCTTTATCTTTTATCCTTAATACTTACTTGATACTTGCTGCTTGAACCCCGCCTTCACTGGTTGTGCGGGTCCTAGCATATTCTCCATTTTTTGGAGTTTTGCTCGTTCAACCATTGTTTCCTTGGGGTCCCGAGGTCAGCCTGGCAAACTCTGCCCCACGTCGTCATCACCACAGGCAGTCGCCGCCCTTGTGGATAAGAGGGAGGTTTGCTACCATGCGACAAGTTTGATACTAGGGAGGTGGTAGACCCAGGTTTTGGTTTACTCTAAAGTGGACTTCCTAATCGAAACACTGGACTCCTTCTCAGCTTGAGAGACCCTGTCGAGAAGATGAATCTACCGCTGTACATCGCAGTCCGGCACCCAGTAACACCTCTCAGCCATTATGAGGTGGTAAACTGTTGGGAGGATCCATTATACTACGTTACCGAAATATGAAGGAATCTTTAGGTATTTTCGATTGTTTGTTCTTTAGTTGATGATGGAATGCCTCAAAGATTGTAGTTCGGTGATATCTTCGGTTGTTCCCCCAGAAGTAGGAGTTAGAACGTGCGAAAGTGAAGTCTCAGTGGCCTTTTAGTTTAAATAATTCAGTCATTGTAAGAAAAAACGCCGTGAGTTTACACTTCCCAAGGACAGAGCGTCAAATGGTAGAAGTTCGTTATAAAAGACGAACTTATAAAGACATTGTACTCGCTGCTATACGTACTATTGACGCCCACAACGTGCAGTATTCGTTGTGGGAAATTTTTTTGCATCGATTACTAGACAAGCACTGGATGCCACCCATATGTAAATGTTATATATTCTGACCGGATGAATCACTTCTGTGATTGTATTGTTGTAATTATGTTCTCCGTACTAATTCCCACGACCGACTTTCTATTAACCTCGGCATTGGTCGAACAATTGCGAAATCCACCGAAACGTCAACGTGTTCTTGCATAAGGAAATAAAATAACACCTTGTGTTTGCTCAACGAGAATATAAAGAATGTTCTCCGTAGTATTGTGTTTCATAAAGACTTTGTCCTGTCTAATATTTGACTGCTATAACAAAATTTCTATGGTATAGGGTTGTTTGAAGGGCAGAAATCGAAATTCAACATAATTTAGCATAAGATAAAACGAAAAGGAATTTAATACGAAAATGTGGGGCAAAGTCGAGGCTTTGAAATACTGTATAGTACGAATGGAAAGGCTTAAAATTCTGCTGAAGAAGAGCGTTGTAATTCGATGAGGCGCCAGAAATGTAGATGACCTTCGCCACTGATTCCTAGATCCAAGCATGGGTCATCATAGAACTCCTTAACTTTCGATTTTATTTAGGAATTTTTTTTTCACTAGTGATGTCATTTCCTCCGCTTCCAGGGGATTTCAAGATCTAAATCAACGTGGTATAGTAGGATTATTTATAGTGCGAGATTTTCCTTTTCTTCAGTCATCTTGTTTTGATCAGAGTTAGAGTTTTTCTTTTTCAAAAAAAGCACATCGATGTCGTCAAAAATATCTTATCACACAGTTTGTTAACAAAGTTGGCGAAAGCATTCTCTCATTATCTTTCCACACTTTTTTCGTTGTTCTCAATTATCAGTACTATACAATGAAGCAGAGGCACTCCGTCCTATGCGGAAACTAGGCGGCGATATGCACCCATTGTGGCTCTGTGGTCTTTGCGACTATAAAATACAATTATTTATTGTGTCATTGTCAATTAAATGCTCATCTTTTTTCGTTTTTTATCGAGACCTCGAACAAAGTGCAGTTTTCTTATAGGTGCGACGACGTGTGGTGTTAAGCATTTTAACTAATTAAAACAAACAGTGATAGTACAAAGGTTGTAGTGTTTTATGCTGCACATTCCACTGTTGCGATTTGAAGATTGTTCTCTTTGGTAGCAGGTCTTTTTTTTGGGGTGTAAACATGAAGGTCATGGTGTGAAACTGGTTTCTCGAGAGTTAGTACTCTTTCAGGCAAGTACCAGTTGCAGTGAATCTCTGGACAATCTACGACCAATTATACGGCTCATTCTACATTTCGAAGAAGAGGACCTTGAAGTGATAGAATTTACAAGAGAACAGGTCGATTTCGAGTTCTTTTCATTTAATCTATCCCACATCAGTCGACGCTGTAGGCAAGATTACTGATTTCAGTTCGACGAGTTTGTTAGTCAGTTGGGAAAAGGTCGAACCGACGTTTGTTAGTCCATGTTTTCAAAGTTATTTCTGACACATTTTAAAAAACCAATCATATTTATCGCTGGAGCAGGCCTGTTAGGTTGTGGTACTACTGAATTGCTCTTAGATTCAGAAAAATTTCATAATGCGGTACGTTTGATATCTCAACATTCGCTTTTTTTTTCTAAATACATCTAAATACAACTTCCACGACCGACTTTCTGTTAACCTCGGCATTGATGAAGTAATCCTTCGCATTCTTGTTGAGCAAACGCGAGGTGTTACTTTTATTCTTTATTCACGGATAAGCTGACGTTTCGGTGGATTTCGCCTTCCTCAGAGCCTGGAAAGGGCAAGTTGACAGCAATCTATTTGGCCAAACACTTCCATAACCAAACAGAGAAAACGCTAAAGCAAGATTTCAATCAAATTGAACACAGCTTTGCACAGTAAGCCTTTTCTATGAGGTCTCCACTGAGTATGTCGCGTGAAGACCAACCGCACAGAATTCACATGGAAGCGTAATGTGCCCCTCCCATCGGAATAACAGTCTTATATGCTGCCCAATATCACGCGTGATAATGAGGCATTCTTCCCTGCGGTTCATTTTTGGATTTCTGGAATTAGTCGGTGACCCGTTTGATGTTCGTTAGCGATATTTCTGTGCGCTATTGAAGCCGTGTTATGCGATTTACTCAAAAGGTCTTCGAATTTTCTCCGCAAAGTTACTTTAGCATTAGACCTAATAGAGTTGGAAATCAACATTGACTTGCCCACTATTCTCCTCCAGAGGCGGTCCTCCGAAAACTGAGCACCAAAGTTTTCCTTTGTCTCGCACTTCTTCCACTTGGCGAACATCTGGTTCTGTCGGCTTCGTAGACAGATGCGCAGTATTCGCAATTCGATGTCCAGTACTCGGTGGTTGTCCTCTGGTAGTCCGCATACGTCGTGTAGTCGTCTTTGTTTGATGAAGTTCGGAAGGACTCGATGTTTCAGACAGCGGCGGAGAAGGTGTATTGACAGTCGAGCTAAGACGATCTTTTGTCTAAGTGACAGCGCTTCTTTTACAAGTCGGAAGTATCTTGCTGGTGTATCTTGCAGTAACTCCCACGACCGCCTTTCTATTAACCTCGGCATTGGTGAAGTAATTCTTCGTATTCTTGTTGAGCAAACGCGATGTGTTACTTTTATTCTTTATTCACGGATAAGCTGACGTTTCGGAGGATTTCGCCTTCCTCAGAGCCCGGAAAGGTCAAGTTGACAGGATTAATTCCAGAAATCCAAAAATGAACCGCAGGGAAGAATGCCTTATTAACACGCGTGATAATGGGCAGTATATAACTGTTATTCTAACTGTTACTGTTAACTGTTTCTTGTAACTGTTATTCTGATGGGAGGGGCATATTACGCTTCCATGTGAACTCTGTGCGGTTGATCTTCACGCGACAGTGGAGGCCTCATAGAAAACGCTGAGTGTGCAAAGCTGTTTTCAATGTGATTGAAATCTTGGTTTAGAGTTTCTTTGTTTGGTTATGGAAGTGTTTAGCCCGAATAGATTGCTGTCACCCGGACCTTCCCAGGTTCTGAGGAAGGCCAAATCCACCGAAACGTCAGCTTATCCATGAATAAAGAATAAAAGTAACACCTCGCGTTTGCTCAACAAGAATACGAAGAATTACACCAACAAACGTCTAGGATAAACGTAAGAGGCGTGTAATGCAATGGTCATAGGTGCTCTGCAATACGAAAGTGGTTGCTGGTTCGTTCCCGAATCGGCCTCACAAAACCTTCCATCCTTCCGTGGTCTGTAAATTGGTATCAGACTTCTCTGGAAGGTTAGCTCAAATGAGTTGATACAACGGTGAACCACAGCAGATCACTTTGTTGACCATACATACATTTAGTAACGTCTAAGGGTACTTTGTGAAGCTGAATGCATGGTGCATCCCTTACGATTTGATCAACACAGAAAACTCCATCTTTATCCTTTTACATTAAACTTGATACTCTTGCGCCACATATCTATCAAAATTTACGGTATTAGGTCACCGTAAATCACGTCAAATTTCGCACTAGTATTTCCTGGTAAATATATGTATATGACGTATATTTTAAATTATTGTGAAGTCTTCTCATTGTTACTAGAAACTCATAGCTAGCGAATAGAGGTTAAGATTTAGGTCTTCCCTTTGATTCATCAATACATAGATGATGAAGCATCTCATCGTCTCGCGGTTCAGTTAGTTTCTTGGGGACTTCTACCTCGCTTCGGTCAGAGTCGAAAAGAATACCCAGAACTCGAATGTGATGTGCGTTGCCACATTATTTCACATTTTTCATCTATTTTTACGAGCGTATTCTTATTATCTACTAACGTTTATCAATGTTTTACCACTATCTCTACCCATTTTTAGTCAAACTCATAAGTTTTAGTTTTTTGGCAAACATCTAAAGAATCCAATAGGATTGGCAGCAGGCTTCGACAAAAACGGTGAAGCGATTCGTTCACTGGCTAAATTATCAGGTTTTGGATTCATTGAGATTGGTACCGTAACCCCTATTCCTGAGCAAGGTAGCCCTCGACCACGGTTGTTTCGCCTTATAGAGGACGAGGTGAATTAATTTTTAGCAACGCGCACCTCAAAAACGTACATCTACCAGTGTCATGATCTTATTCGATTCTCATTCTGAGAGTTCAGGGAGTTATCAATCGGTATGGATTCAATAATGATGGAGTAGGCCGAGTTCAACAACGAGTAAAAACTGCCCGTGCCAACTGGCAGAGTGATTTCGCAGTGTTGGGTGTAAATGTTGGAGAAAACAAAACAGAGTATGATACCAAGTGGGTGCGGTCATTTAACCTTCACTAGTTTTAGAGTTCTGTAATAAATCATGTGAGGTAGTAAAAGAACTAATTTAGATCAGATTTCGAGATCGGTGTCAATAGTTTCGCTGCGTATAGTGACTATATGGTGCTTAATCTCTTTTCACCCAATACTTCTGGTCTTATGGTTACGAAATCTGAGTTGCAGAGTGTAAGTCGGCGTTTCAAAGTCAGATGCTTACATCTTCTATTTTCAAAGACACGTTTTCTTTTTAATATGTTATGACCAACAGTTTCGTATCTTCTTTTAAAGCGTTGTTAGTGAAGGAATTGTTTCCAGTTGTTATTGTACGTGAAAGAAGCCATTGACATTCTACATCTAGCCTCTCGACCAAAACTTTTTCTCAAAATTCCTCCCGATCTTACAGACACGGAAAAAAGTGATATTGCTCAGGTATCATTTTTCCAGGCTTCTTTCAGCTGTTTAAGTGCCATGCTACTCAATGATCCACTACAATTCAAAAATTTGAGTACGGGAGGCACATTAGCTGGTATGAGTTGCTCTCAACTCGTATTATATACAGCAAAGAACTAGTCGTCATTGCATATGTGTTGACTATCGAGTAATTCAAACAAATACTAGTAGTCCAAATTCGTCACTATTGCGCTTCTTTTGCTGCTATTGTTTTTGACTAGGAAATAGCCACGGGTTGTTCGTCGTGGTCTATCGTAAGAAAATCAGATAAAACCAGATCAGAGATGATCAGCTGCTTGGTCACTAAACCCGTTTGTTACGCAAAATAAATGAAGCACGGACTTTAAATTCATGTACCCTTTTCATTCAGGTAGTTATTGATTCGAAAAATGGCGTTGACGGTCTGATTATTTCTGATACAACGATATCTCGACCGAAAACACTTAAAAGTGAGAACAAATCGGAAATCGGAGGATTGAGTGGTACACCGCTTCGACAAATCAGCACCGAATGCGTTCGCGAAATGTATAAGTACGTTTGAATCTCCAAAAATACGACGATGTGAATAGGATGATTTTTATCTATTCCTAACATGGTTCAGATTTACTAGGGGTCATGTCCCCATAATCGGTTGCGGTGGTATTTCCAGTGGAGCGGACGTTTATGAAAAGATTCGGGCCGGAGCATCGGTAGTGCAACTTCATTCAGCAATTGTTTTCCATGGGTTTCCCATAATCGGAAAGGTAAGCTGGTTAACTTTTGCTAATACATCCGCGGCCTTATGCACTGATTCCATTGAGTTTCTGAGTATTTCCTTTGTCACTCAAGTTTTCTGTAATGTATTTTGTATGCGATGGATAGCTTCCCTATCATATATGTATGCCAGGCGCCTCGTCCGAGAAAGGTTCTTTTGATTATATCAAAACTTAGACTAAAAGATCTTCGGACGTTTGTCTGTCTCCATAAATTTTTCCACGACCCTTTACTGTTTCTTTTCCGATACTACACACTTCCACTGATGCAATAGTGTGTCCAAAGAATTTGACTGGTTCAACAATGACCGCTCTTGAACAATTTGCCTTGTCTTTCATAGGTGATGCTGTCGGCAAAATGGCCACTAGCAACAAACAATCTTCACATATATTAGCCATTATTTCAGACCTAACATGATCTTATCCGAGAACATATTAAGAACTGCACTAAACTGTAGCAGTTCATCAATTTCTATCTGGCGAAAGAGTGCGAACGATAGATCATTTCGTAATTAAAACAGTAGTCGGTTGCCAATTGTCGAGCAGGTTCTTATTGTTCCTTAAAAAGAGACTTCCACAGCACCAACGACTGTGGCCGATTCTACTGCAGTTGGTTGCATAGAAAGGCTTTACTTTTGTCACTTCTGACATTGTTGACAGATTATTGGAGGAAGATCAGTTTAAAACAGAATTCAGCATAAAGATTATATGCATGCGATAACGGAACTCACTGTTACTTCTCTTTAGGGCCAAAACCGTTATGAAGGCTTTACACACCCAGGGCATTCCTGTCCAGTACACAAGGATTTCTTATGGCCCACAAAGTAATTTTTGCGACTGCAATTTCGCCACTGGATAATGATTGTTAGCAGTGTAGCGTGTGGATTCGACAAGGTGGTACTGCTACTCGAAAATTATTTACAACCACTCTGCAATGCATATGGAAAAACCGATTTTCTAGCGAAACGCCAAAAAGTGTTCATGAGAAATAGATCCATTTAAGACTCATGCTCGACCTAACATCTCTGTTACCTAGTCTGAACTGAATAGGAAGGAAACGAACAGTTTGGTTAACTTACACATTGAGGGTTTAGACAAGTAGCCAAAGAACAACGGCTTCTTGCTCACTTTTTAGCCGTCGTGATTCTTCCTGCTTCAACACATGAAAACCTACCCGCTACGTAAACAGAGTGAAAGGTCACCTAACGTTATCGAACGCGATATCGAGAGGTCATGTCAAAATTTTCCCTTATCACCGAAGTAAGGCAGGACATCTAAAGCTCTTATCCGTGTTGACAACCGGACATAAGAAGTTGTCTCACCATGATGGTAATAATTAGATGAACTGGACCCATGATGCATCTTAATGTAGCTGATGGTTAGGAACCGTTAATAACTAGATCCTGCAGGATGTCAAGCGCATAACAGAAATATCGGCAATCAAATTTCTTTGCAAACATCGTAGAAAGGAAATATGGTGGTTTTCAAATCCCTTAAGCAGAAAGCGAATGAAAATCGACAACTGTTGAGAAGAGGAGAAGATTCATTGTTCGCGCTCTGCCATCAGAGAGAAATTTGTAGATAGCTCCTGTTGAGTACTTTGACTTGCTGTTATATGTTTCTGTTCTGTCCTGTTAGTAAGATACTTGAGAAACTTGTCCATTTTTTGGAATTGTCAATAGGAACTACAACATAGTCCATAGACAACTTATATTCATGAAATCCTCATGCTATTTAGAGGATGCTGCATTACGCTAACGCACCTTGCAACGGTTTCACCTCATCGTGATGAGGTGTGCTTCGATATACAAGTACAGCACAGAACTACCAAGGTACTCTTCTCACCATCAACAATCTCTGGGTCACTTTATCTGTACAATAGGCAGGGAACTCGCGATAGGACTTATGGAGTAGAGAAAACCTGTTACAGATGGTCTTGGGTATTTTCTCGTGTTCAAAACAACCTTTCTCAGACGACACAGCACCTATCATAGTGAAGCTATTCTCCACAAATGATCTCACAAATAATTCTCTAGCGAAAAAAACGGTCATAATGAAAATATATCGAATAAACGAATGCCGTTATCAGTGTTTTGTGCGTGCGTGCGTGCGTGCGTGGGTGCGTGCGTGCGTGCGTGTGTGTGTGTGTGTGTGTGTGTGATTTGTTGCGAATGCCGCACAAGGTAAAATACGCGAAAGTGTGCGAAGATTTTTTTCTCAATCTATTGAAGATTTATTGCATGGAGCTCAACATTAACCATCATGCGTTTCAGATAAAAAGAGAACTAATAGAACTGCTGAGGCGAGATGGATTCACGAACATTAGTCAAGCAGTAGGTTCCGACCATAGAATGTGAAATCCAAAATGTCTTTCATCATATTACTTTGTTAATTAATCACTTATCATAAAACTTAATCTGTTGTGGAATTCTCAGTGGAATGTATTACCTAAAAGCAAGAAGCTACACTCAGTAGTACATCACATGAGTAATTTCAAGAGTGCCGCGAATAATCTACGATGTGGTTTACGTAGAATTGAGCATCAAGTATTTTACAACATGACCAAATGTAATGCACAGAATGGTGCTAACAATATAACTAATTACACAACAACACCTATAAAACAGTATCGGTTTCTATAACGGTTCTCCGTGAATAACAGAGTCGGGCATTAAAAGGTCCAAACGCGACTCTATCAGTCTTAATTCACATGCCTTTTTTGAGTTGCAGTCGACTTGTGCTGTAATGACGTCTCATTACCTTCCGAGAAATCCATTATTAATTCACCATACAGGTCCGCTTAGATTACAGCCATATGTAATGTCTTGGTATCGGAAATGGAATTGTTTCCAAAGATCTAGACTACGCAGTCAGGCTAGATGTTGTAAGTAGCGATTAAATTTCAGACGTCATCGTTTAAGCGCTCTGTTAGTCGTGCCCAGAATTTTCGACGTGATGTATCAGCACCCACGTCTCTGCTGCATAAAAAAGCGCATGCGTACTGTTAAATAAAAAAGTAACCGTTAAGTTTTAGGTTCGTTAGTTGTTCAATGGCTTCGTTGAGAGGCTCGAATGATGCACATGCTTCTCTCCTATCTAATCGCTTTCCGTGGTCATTTAAAGGCACAAGTACTCTACGGAATAGTCTCTGTAATCAAAGAACCATCCAGTTTGATCTGTTCGCCTTCGCCCATGGGTTTTAATGAACTGCATTTTCCGATTACTGTGTAGCCCAATCCTTTTTCCCGCTTCATTGAGCCCATTGCGCATCATCTTTGCTTCACCGGTACACCTCGAGAAAATGACGACGTGATCCGCTAAACGAAGATTTGGCAGGAATTTTCCAACAATCTGTGTGCCTTTGTCGTCCAGTCGAGAGACTTCATGGCGCATTGTTACGTGGCTATAGACAGTTTCGACGAGAGGGTGTCGGTTTGTCAGACCCCTTTCCTTCTAGGAATGATAAGGATCGATGGAAAATCTGTGTCTTTGTGCTTTTCTATAACAGTCTGCTGGAGTTCTCATATAGGATGGCACCACTAGGTTGACGAGCGCTGAGAGGATTGCATTCGTTTTGACCCTGTCAAACGCTTTTCAAAAAAAAACAAACAAACAAAAATCAGGACAAGAGGTATGTGGTATTCTCGATAAGCTTCTATGATCCTCGGACACGGCTCTGGTGTGTTCCGTGCACCAGGACTCCTATAGAAATCTTGTTTGTTGCTCAACTTGTTGTGACTGAAGATGTCTGGTGCAGAACTTTTCCCTTATCAATTCCACATTATGGTGGAATGTGGTGTCAGTCCCATCTTTGGTCATCAGGGCTGATAGGGCAACACTATGGCCACACAAATCCCGATGTCACTTCTTCAAAAGAGGTGATTTCTGAACTGCTTCCAATATATTTTTCCGTTTGTACCGATGTAAATACCTCTGCTTAGATCTTCCACGACTGGCGTTCATTATCAACCGTGTTAGGTGTGTTTCAGTAGGATCAAGCTTCAGTTTGCTTCTATATAGAAGCGACTCAGTGGTAATGGAGTTGAGATCTCATCTTCTTGTTTGAAAAACTAAGACGAGTTCGGCAAAAATCTTACGCCCTTCGACAAGCAGCGTGTAGTCCTCAGTCGGATCTTCCTTTATTTGCCAGTCATATAAAGAGGATTTTATTGAGAACATCCTCGTCATACACGACTTGTCTTGTATTCCTTGGACGATGATAGATTACGGCTGAATCGGATCCTCGTAAAGAAAAAGTCCCCATCGAGTACAGTACAGAATCAACGGACCACAAAGAGGTTATATACACATTCTTTTTCTGTTATTCAGAACGTGGTCGATCTCCACATGAAATGTGCCCTTATGAGACTCCCATGTCCATTGGCGATTATCTCTCTTCTCCAAAAACCAATTTCCATAGAAGAGACCTAAGGATGGAAATTCTGCAAGACGGTTCCCATTCCTACTTCGATTTTCTACAGGGGATCCTGTATTCATCACCGTTCCTTCATCATCTGGTATTGAACATTCCAACAACGAATTTATAGCACTTTTCGTTGCGGATTACTTTCTCCAGTTGGTTGTCAAACGCGCCCAGTTTGCCCTCGTCAGCTTACAAGTTTGTGGGCAATAGTTATGGTACTTAACATGTGTTTATATGGTTGAGTTTATCTTATACTAACTCAAAGTTATGATGACATTTTCGTTTTTATGCTGAGGGACACTAGGAAAAGTCAAACCAAGTGATACAGTCCTATAGTCTCATACGGGGCGACGTGATGGGTAGTAAATGGATCGATGGGAAAGCCTACGCCAGGGACATTTCACACTCAACGGATTACAACAGTCCTGGTATCTAATTCGCGCATGTTAATCTTCCTGCTTTTCGTTTCTTGCAGGGCGAACAAATGGAATTTGATGCGAGTAGCGGCTTCAAGAGCAAAAAGATCGGCATCTGAAGAGACAATTCCGTTTTTATAAGTACTGATCAAGAAGCAAGGTATGTGGTGAGCGTGATCGTTTGGTCCGTGTCCGGTGACGTTCTGCACAAGCCAAAATCTCATTCTCTCTTAACGGTTTTCTTACTGCCGGCGTCGTAGACAGCAACGGCCAATGTGCGAGGTACTGAGGCTGGATGAGCGATTTCTGGTTTTCTGGAATGCTAAGACCATCTTATTTGGAGGCTTCTTCAGGTCATCACCATCACAATCAGTCGCCGGTCCTGGTAGATTAGGAGATTTGTCATCCTGTGAATAATTTTATATCAAGACGATGGAGATTCTCGGTATTGTTTGGTGTTAGGTGGACTTCCGAATGGAAATGCAGAACTCGTTCTCGGCTTAGGAGACTCAGCTGGAGGAAGACCTTTACTTCCACATCGCAATCGAACACCTGGGAGCACTCTCCAGCCAGTATGAAGCGGTAAGGAATCTAGATAGGGAGGAGGAATATTAATATTACTGAATGAATATTACATGAATAGATATAATTCAATTCATCGCAGCATAGACGAGGAACCGATCTAGTAAAGTTACCTGTCACCCATCAGTCACCGTCACCTAAATGTGCATCACATACGTCTTGCAACTGTCATGCATAATATACAATCCCACAAATCGAACAACCAAAGCAAGTCCAAGTAATGTTTCTACTCGTCCACGTTGTGTGCCAGAGTTCTTCAGTGTGTTGCTGGCTTTAAAGACACTAGGAGGACTGCGCACCTAGTATGATGGTCTAAGATATGTAACATTTAGGACTCCACTGTGGTATTCATTTATTCATAGTAATGGTACGAAATCCTCCCAACGGTTTACTACCTCATCGTGGCTGGGAGGTTCCTAGGTTTCGGGCTGTGATGGACCGTGGCGGGATTCATCCCCGCAGCGGGATCTTCAAAACTAAGAAGGAGACCGGCGTTTCCATCAGGAAGCCGAGTTAAGAGTAAACCAATACCAGGATCCTTCACCGTCTTGGTAGCAATTTAGTCGCATGGTGGCAAATCTCCTTTTAATTAATAAGGGCGACAACTGTCTGTGGTGATGACGACCTGCGGCAGGCTTTGGTCTGGCTGACCTCGGGACTCCAGGGAACCACAATGGCTAAACCATCAAAACTCCGAAAAGATAGAGATTACGCTGGGAACCGCACAACCAGTGAGGACGGCCCATCCAAGTATTCAAGTAAGTAATGCTTCGGAATGCAAATATCGAACTCCCTCTCACCCTCTCAGCTTAGGCGAATCAGTCGCGGTTCTTTTTGAAGAATTTATCCCTTTCTATTTAGCTGTAATAAGTATTTCTAATGTGGCATAAAATAAACTTTGAATTGACATCTCATCTGTTGGGTATCCTACACGTTATTTTGAATAGCTGATAAGAGCAGGAATTTGAATCATCACTAGATGGCGCTTAAGTGTGACGTTCACAAATCTCAAGAATTATGTACGAGATGTCATGCTCAGCTAACGGAAAGCATTTTAATTATACTTTGAACTAACCTTGTGCATACTTGCTAGTTCTGCGTATAAGTCCTTGCATACAGCCTAATACGTGACCAACAGCTTCACGTATGTCATTGTTGCAATTGGTCAACCAAACAATTAACAATGACGTAAAAACATCTCCAGTGCCCACAAACTGTCCTCGCAATCGTGGGAATCGAAACCGAAACCGGCGTATGTTCCCTTTTTCACCTAGTTGGCAAGTGCCGATTAACGAAGTAATAAATTAAGACAGTCAACCTGGTAAAAGTTTCTTTGAAAAATTATCAGTGAGGTTTCTTCCAATGTATTGGACGATATTATATTATTCAGTCAGAGAAAAATAGATAACGGAAAAGTAAAAAAAAAACATAAACATGAAATGGAATGAAAATTAACGAAAAAGAAACCTCTTGTACTCGCGTAACAGGTAAGGGTATCGGGTCCGTCGCTTGCTACCACACCGCTTGTAACAACAACGTTTGTGACTCCGAGACCGTGGATAACGTCCATGCCATGAAGGCAATCTTCTTCATTAGTTATACAAAAGCCCACTAACTCACTAGAAAAAGTCAATAAGAGCGAAATCAATAACCTAGGAACAGATTATTTCACATACCCTAGTTCAAAAGCATTAGGCGTTAAGGTATCAGCTAGCGGTACGATCACTTCTTTATATATAGGCAGAAGCTCCTTAGAAACGTACTGAAAAGCTGCACTATTGTAGTTAAAAAACGCTAAGTTAAGCACACTGAAATCAAATATTAATGAGAACAAAGAGAACTCACGTATTTTCCATGGTCTCCCATAACGGGATCACACACTGAAAGTAGACGAGGGTAATTTGGACAATAAATAGCTTGTTTACTTGTGTATGAAACTAGTATAGAAATGCAGATTGATTGTAATCTAAACTGAAACGCGGTTCTCCACAATTTCTGCGGTAGCGACGAAAGAATGAGTATTAAACTCACCAAAGACTACAGATGAATCATTGTTTTTGAGGTCTTTAACAATATCAGCGATCTTCTTTAGAAAAGCAACGTTAGCACAGTACCCTAAATTTGTAACGAATGGACTTCTGTATATCATGATTTCAGAGAAATGGACAAATTACAATTGCGATAACCTAGATGAGACCACCTTATGCTCGAAATTCTGCAAGTCTTTTCTTTCCAAAATCGAAATTCTGAAAGTCTTTTTTCTAAAACACTCAGAAAATTCACTTTTAAGACAAAGTAATTGTATAAATGTTCTGACAAACAACTACTAACTAATTAGTCCATGTCAATTACAAACTAAGAATTTAGAGTTCACTTTTAGCTATGATCATATACAGCTCCAAAGAAACATCAAGAACTTCCAGTAACGAAAAACGACTGACGCCCTTGATTACTCAAGAATTTGTAATAAAATCGCAAGCATATTCATTGCTTAAGCAGGTGCTCTAGTTATCGAAAAATGCCACTGGTTATTTTTAAAAAAATCCATACAGCAATGAATGACTTATCATAAAAACCTTTACAATGAAATATGTAATGTCCAAGCCCTTCAACACCCACACACACACATTTGCACTGCCCCATCTTTACACTGACCACCTTTTTGTGATTCAGACCTTTTCTTGTAATTCATACATTTGCATACTCTCCCACTGAGCTGCCCAAACTAAAATTCTTTTGCATGAACTACTCCATTTTAATCCAGCTTACGTTTTTGCGCATTTAATGAGCTCTCATATCCACTGGAAAGGATTCCAGAAACTCTACATATACAGAATGATACTAACCTCCACCTGGAAGATTGTATGCATTTCCTACTTGCCGTTTTTTCAAATTCCCTTAATCCCTACTTCCATAACACTTGTTATTGTTCCATCAACAGAACTATGAAATTTTGGCAGCGATTCGGGCACAAGCCTGTAATCTCTCCACGCTAGCATGCAACAAAGTCAGCACTAACTCTTTACCCTTAATTAAATTAATACTTAACACGTAAATAGTAATCAGTGAATTGTTCACCACATTCTCACCCTGCTCCTTTAATCACCCTGCTTACCCTTGGTACACTAACAGTTACCTTATGAATGCTTTCTCATTTCTATCGTTAACATCTGTTCTCTACCCCGCTTCATTTCATCCATAAGAACAACTTTTAACACAACTATTACTTCGAAACCGACTTTCCTTGAACCTCGGTAACAATAATCAATATGTATTCTTTCTTTGATGAGCTTACACGAGGTTGATAATGATATTTTTTCATTTTCGGCTAACGTTTCGACGTCTTCGTCTTCCTCAGAGCCGATGATCCGATTCGATGGTCCATGCTTGTTTTTCGTCTCGACGTTGCAGCTTCGCCTTCGTGTCGAGTCAGGTCTTCCTCAGTGAGCCATCTTCTCGAATCACAACTATTACTTATACACACATCGAATATTTCCTTAAGTTTCTTAAAACGCCAACAACCATATTTCAGTGGAAGAACTGGAACGTTCACTCATTACTACGTGAATTTTTCCTCTTCCGATGTAAACACTTTCAAGGCTCGCAGAAAGAAGCTATGCAACACAATTTTACTACTTAGCAACAATCACCGCGTCCTTAATTTAAGTGGTTTCAGTTGAAGGGTGAAAACGTTTGGTTAGGAATCACAGAAAACCTGTCAAACTCCCGAGTAGCAGAAGTGGTAGTGCAGTTTAATAACGAACCTGTAAGTATAAATGAGTACTGGTTGACAGTGTTGAGCTTCAGGCCCTCGTACAATTCAGTTAACTCTACGTCTGTAAGTTTCTGACCTTTCACATATTCATATCCTGAAAGATTATGAGAGGGCGTTTTTCCTGGCGAAATTGTTCAAGCAGTTTCTAGGAATGGGTTAAAATTAGCATGCAGGAACAGAACATGAAGGTTAGCGAAGCAAATCAAATCACTTTTAGGTAGATTCAAGAATTCGACGTTACCCGCATGGTTGCTGAATTGGACACTGTTGATCGGATCTACCTCGAACCCATTCAGCTGAACTATGGATTTTTTTCATAAATGAAAACAAACAAAAACAGAACTCAAACAATAGTAATGTTCGTAATTTAAAAGAAAGAGAAAACATCATATGACATGTTACTCTCCAGTGTCTATATTAACAAGAAAAGAAAAGCCTCATAACCTTCAAATTACTACGATTGTGGAATTGTTAGCCCTAGATGCGATCTCTTTTTCCCCACGACCGACTTTCTTTTAACCTCGGCATTGATTGATAAATCGATGTTTTTCTTCAATAAGCAGACACGAGATTGTTATTATAGGATTTATTAGGAGATATAAATATAATATAACTATTATAACTAACTGTATTGGGTTATCGCCCATGTATTACTCTGTTCGGCTGCTATCCATCAACTAACTTAAATACTTACAACAAATAAACGGCTCTGAAGAAGGCGAAACCGCCGAAACGTCAGTTACTGTATCCTAATAAATCCTATAATAACAACCTCGTGTCTGCTTATTGAAGAAAAACAACGATCTTTCTTTTGTTATGCATGCGCATTATTTCTTATCACATGTTATGTGAACCTCCCAACGGTTTGCCGCCTCATCGTGGCTAGCAGGTGTTTTCGGGTATCGTACTACGATGTACAGCGGGGGATTCATCCCCTTGCAGGGTCTCCCAAGTTGAGAATGAGTTCAGCGTTTCCATCAGGAAGCCTACCTAAGAGTGAACCAATACCAGGATCCCCCATCGTCCCGGTCTGAAGGTTGCATGGTGGCAAATCTCGCTCTAATCCACAATGGCATAGACTACCTGTGATGGTGACGACCTGACGCAGACTTCTGCCAGGCTGACCTTAGGACTCCAGGGAACCACAATAGTTAAAGCATCAAAACTCCGAAAAAGGTGGACATCATGTTGGGGCCCACACGACCAGCAAGGACGGGCCATCAAAGTATGAAAGTAGAGTCAGCATGTTATGTAAATAACTCTAAGTAAGCTGAATTCGTAGCATGCATCATTTCGTTTCACGTTCTGCGCTGAATTTATTCCAAAACATATAAACTATTTCCAAAACAAACAAATAGAGAATAAAAAGTGCTAACGATCATACCTGAAGTGGGAATACGGACGCTTTATTTCCCGCATAACCATGTACGACATGACTTTGAATAGATAAAACTGTCTTGTTTTGTTCTTTTCGGAGCGCCTTCTCAATTTCCATTTTGCGATATCCGATGGAGAGGACTTTAAAACGAAGGAAGAAAAGGCTAAACACATGAAAATCGATAGAGACCAGTCAGAGTAAAAGGTAATGAGGCAAGCTTGTAAAACACTCACATGAATAACGAAGAAATAAAGTACAACGTACATAGACTTTCATAAAATGCAGGGAAAAATCTGGTTCAAAGAGAACATTTTACGCAAACTTACAGACATACACATTTCTATCCTCGGAATTCATTCGGTAAAACTCGAAGGAGGAGATACTCATCAAGCTTTTGTTGTAGACGGCATAAAAGTGGAGACGAGAGAGAAAATTCAGAGAACATGGTCCAGAGGAGAGGGCTGAAGTGGTCGTTCCTATGCTGATCATGAAAAAGCGAACCTTCATCCTCGTAGCCCCAATTGGTGGCAATCAGAAATACACTGTCAGTTGATTAGTGCTGCCTATTACGGTGGAAAAAAAGAAAAAGTAGGAAGAAGGACTTTTGTTTTTAAATAAATAATGGAGGAGATCTAAACACTACGTGGCGATGAATACAGTTAAGCTGTTTGTTAGCGGCGATTTGTGACGGACACTAACTACTCTAGTCGATTTCAGCTTGTTCATTCAGTGCAGCACGTAAGAATTTCGCACTCAATAGTCAAATTAATAAAAGGCACAGAACATCAAAAGGCCGCATGTGGCGCAGTAGTCGGAGGCGCCACACAGTACACATGAGATCGATCTCCACGCCCAAGACTCACCAAACCTTCCCTCTGGGTTCGTCAAATTGGTACCAGACTTGTCTGGGAGGATAGCAGGACTGGCTCAATACATGGGCAGGCCACTGCGAGTCATTGTAAAGGCCAGATATGCATTTAGTCACCAGCAAACAATGCTTAATAAAGTTGAATGCATGGCGCATCCCTCAGGAATTGATCAACACCAAGAGTTCTATTCTCTAGAGCTTTTAAAGAATAGCAAGTAATAAATTTAGTCATTCACGCTGTGTGTATCGGTTGTACGTGGGTCGTCCGTTATCAGCACCCAGGCACATTTACCGTCGACACATCGCTACTTTGGCAATCTCCATTCCTTGATGTATCGAGAATCCCGGCCAATTCCTTTCCAAGTCACTAGCACAAATAGCCATTACCCTAAAGGGATTCGGCTAATCAAATGCGTGATAAATAGATGATTTTTTATGTTCCTCTCTTTCAGTGACCAAGAGCGCCCACAGAGAGTTTGCACGGCTGACGAAGAGCCAGTCAAAAAGCCATGCAATTGATATCTAGATTTTGGGTTTTCTTTTTTTTTCCTTCCAGGGTTAGAACACTTTGCTTGAACAGATTCTGTTTCAACATGATCCTTTCAAGGCTTTAAAGGAAATCCGCCAAAATTCGAGCCATTGTAGAATAAATATTGTATGAGCAACCTCATACAGCTTATCGGGAACCTTACCAATGTCGGTACCAATATGATGCCAACCTTGTGAGGAACAAAGGTATTTATACAATCGCTTAGATGAATCACCTCATTTGCCACCTGTAGTCCTGTTGATCGTCGAGTGGCTCGAGCGGGCGCCAGTAAATCTTCCATTTTTCCCTGTCATGTGCAAGAGTAGCCCAGTGGGTTCTGCTCGGTCTAGGAACTCGTTGAGCATCATATCTTTCTCCTAGGCTTTTCGTAAACAACTCTGACCATTGGGTCGATGGTCTTCCTGCAGTGCGTTTGACATCCCGAGGAATCCAGTCACTAACGGCTCTTCTCCATCGGTTGTCGTTCATACACATTATGTGTCCGGCCCACATTATCTTCGACTGTTTGGCGTACATACTTGCGTTACACGGAATACTCCTACCACCTCGATGTTAATATCGTTGTAGAATGGTGATATCTTGGTTGTGAAATTCTTGTACAGCTCACGAAGATTCTTTATGTACTGAGTAGGGACTCCCTGACTATCAAGGGCTCTCATAACTGATTTTATCCCAATTGAGTCAAAAGCTTTAAAATCAATGAAATTGAGGCAGAGTGGGCCTTACTCTCTACTCTCCTTCAGTGAGTCTTGTTATCGTGTGGATGCGGTTCTTCGCAGTAAATCCTTTTCGAAACTCTGTTTGCTCACATTGCTGCCGTTCGCCCAGTGTTCTGTCAGTCCTGTTTAAGACAACTCAAGAGAAAAGTTTGTAGACGGCAGACAGCAAGTAGATTGGGCGATAGTTGCCGATATCGTGGAAGTCACCCTTCTTGAACATTAGCACGGTCTTGTTGGTCTTTCACTGAGTTGGGACCTTGAATTCAGACAGCTAACGTATGAAGCACCGAGACAGTGTGTTTACGAGGACTGGCGGAAAGTTCTTCAGCTGTTCTGGTCTAATCCTTCCCCGACCTGGTGCTGTTCGATTTTTCGCCGACGAAATGGCATGTCGAATTTCGGATATGAGAACCGGTGGTACAACATATCCATCCTCCTTTATTTCATATGACGGAAGGTGGACGTGGCTATCGGAGAGATCCGAGTAGTATTCGTGAATGATTTTCTCCTTTGCTTTTCTAGAAGCTGTAACTGTTCGGTCTGGGCGCGGGAGTGCAATCATTTTGGTCTTGTAATTGGCGAAGCTTCGGTGAGCTTTGCGAATGCGTTTCCCACCCTCTGCAGCTTCGACCGTTACTGCTGCTCTTCTCTCTTTAAGATCTTCTTTTATCGCCTGTCTGCATTGCTTTGCAAGTTCAGACGTTAGTTCGCGGTTGCCTGCAGCTCTTGCGACTCCACGTCAGCGTGTCAGCTCGATTGTGTCTAGAGGCAGACGTCTGTTGGTCATTGTTGAACCCTCAGCTTACATAGCGCTAACGTGAAGATGTTGAATGAGCCGGCCGTATTCGACGTCGATGTTATCGACAACGACATCTTCCCGACAGCCGACTATTGAATTGAATAAATCGCAGTTTATGGTGATTTTAGGACTTCGTCTTTTCAACTTAGCGGCTTTTTCCCCTTTCTGCAAGAAACGGAATCTTGCACGAAAGAGGCGGTGGTCTGATTCCGTGTAGAATTTTGGGAAAACAGCGAAATCGGTTAGGGGAAACCTTCTATTTACTATGATGTGATCTATTTCGTTATGGTACTCTTTATTGGGAGACTCCCACGTGCAGCGTGAGGGTGCGGCTCCTGGAATTGCGAGTTACCATGGATGGTCTTGGTCGTCATGACAAACTCAGAGAGCCGCTCACCCTGTTCGTTCCATTCTAGTCCGTGGGTTCCAATATGAACATCTTCAGACGTTCTTCTTGGTCCATTCTTGGCGTTAAAATCTCCAATAATAACTTTGAAGAATGTACTGTCTTCTCTGTAGAATTTCTCCAAGTCCATATAGAAGGCTTCGACTTTTTCTTCTTCTTCATAGTTTGATGCCGGTACGTAAACGACTTAGATGAATAGAGGAACTTTTCCCTTCTTGTTAGAATAAAACTGATGTTGAGGTGCTCAAGATGCAACGATGGTTGCTGTAATTGCACAGAATCAGGACATGCTCTGCGCCGACAAAACATAAAAGGATAGAATGACAAAACGCTTTTAGCGTTAATGGATCCTCAAAAGATGTGCCATGAGTTTCACTCCATTCTTAGCATTGTCACAGATGACTGAATGCACATCTAGCCCATACATTGCCTCGCAGTGGCCTACCTATGTATCGAATCAGTGCTGCTATCATTCCAGACAAATCTGGTGCTAATTTGCCGACCTGGGAGGAATGGAAAGCTTAGTGAGTTTCGGCCGTGGCGTCGAACCCATTTTTGTTGCAGGGCCCTAGACGCGTCGTCAAAACACACAGCTGACTACCATTTTAAAATATTCCTAAGTTGTGAAGTGACGTCTAAGAACCCTCACATGTATAGCTGGCTGCTTGTGAATCAGAACGGCTGTAGCGAAACGGCGTTGTGTCAAAGGATCTTTGGTTGGTCTCGGTTCTGCACGCAAGCTCCCTGAAGACCATCACGACAGACTCCCTAAACCCTTCTGCCATGCTCGCTAATATCCATCAAGCTCTCCATCTCTCTTTGATCTTGCTCAGCTTTATAACTGAAATAAACCTACTATACATAGGTCATGTTTCACAGCGGAAAACAACCAATTCATAGTGAACCGCAGACAAATGGCCCTATTGGCTAAAAATGTAATATCTAACCAAATATTGTAGAGTCTGATTTGTTCTAACGTTGAGACCTCAGTAATATTTTTCCTGTAGTAATATTTCAGCTGTAGTCAATATCTGAAGCAGGATGAGATCTACAGACTGCTATATCAAGAAAAAATTGTCTTCATCTCCTTTTTGTTTTAACCCATAACGTACTGACGCGGTTGTCTCTGGCCTTATCAAACACTTACTTACTTGGACACTTAGACGGTCCGTTTTCATGACTTGTGCGGACTCCAGCATATTTGCCATTCGTTTCTTTCCCTTGCAATCGTCGTCCATGGTGGTGGTTTGCTTGAGCATGGTAGGAGATGCGAATCTCATACCGTGATCTGTAAAACAACTGCTGCTGTGAGTACAGTGGTTTGACCTCAGTTGCTAACATATCAACCGAAGATGTGAGTGGTCGTCCTAGGTGACGTCTTCATCCTCGTGGAGACCAGTCTACAGTTCTTTCCAGCCATCTGTCGTCTGTTGTTCTCGTTATGTGACCGACTCATCTATCGATCACTGTTGATGCGTGTTGCCCTGGATCTCACAGATATGATAGATTTCGAAGATTAGAGTATAGGCTGTTTCGGCTAGATGTTGTATGTGCAGGTTATATTTCAGAAGACATCGTTTGAAAGCTCTGTGTTATTGCAAGTATTCTTGACGTGGTTTTTGCATCTGCATATTTCTCTGCTATATAACAGAGCTCCGGGGGAACTGTTGAATCGAAAGTATGAGCTTGGGGTTTTGGTTTCTTTAGTAGATTGGTGGGTTCTTTTAGAGGTCCAAATGCAGTCCAAGCTGTTTTCCTCATTCTGCCTAATTCATCCTTCATGTAGTTCTCCTTGTTCATTAAGCACCCAAAATACACGTACAAGTAGTCTCTGTAATCAGAGAGCCACCCAAAGTTCGTCTTTCCACCACGAATTTTTCGTGAACTATGTCTTTCTCCGATTTATGCGTAGTGGAATCTTTTTCCGTTTCGTTGAGCTCATTGATCATCGTCTCTGCTTCACTGGCGCTTCCTGAGAAGATGACGATGA